TTTCCGTCTTTTCATTTGATAACTGAGAGTATGATGCTTTTCTGCCATTCAGCCCAAGTTCTGACTTGTTATTTAGGAAATAAATATAGGCCACCTTAAACAGAATCTTTTCTTTACTACGTTGCTGTCATAATGAAACTTTTAACTGATAAACAAATATGGATTGTGGGACATCAAATGCTAAGGCTAATTTGCTGCTCTTAAGTTTTTTAAAATATTGTTTTGAATCATTTGTGACAAATATGACTTTGAAAATGTTTTGAAATATGCATAAAATATAAATATAATATATTCAGAAACATCTAGAAACATTTTTCTTGGGCCTTCAAGCTATCCAGAGATGTCCAGGGAAGACAGAGAGTGCGCAATTGAGTTTGCTGTTTCATTGATAACACCATTGAACTTGAAGCATCATTGCTTGTTATGTCATAGCATTGCGAAATTTGTACAAACATTTCAGGGGCAGTAGGGTAGCCCAGGTTTGTTTGAAGCCCATTTCCTGTGCCCAACGCCGCGATATTGCTGGATTATTGCTGAAAGCGCCATAAAACCATACTCACTTACTCAGGCTACGTGAGAGCTACTGCGGAATAAAACAGACGTTGGACAAACGTGTTTTTGCCGACCCTTGGCCGACGTCAGAATGCTATCTGGATTCCTATTCCTTTTTCACGTCTAATACTGCATCTAGAATGCAATATGTGTGCAAACTGCCCCAAGTATGCTTAAAAGACAATAGTCACTTCTTAATCTGGAAACAGCCACGACTACATCGACTGACAGTGCAAAGATGATCATGTTAAAACTGATATTCCCTCTCGTAGGTTGACAGATGCAATGAAATATTGGTCACCTGCTGCATATGATTCTCATTTTTACTGCACACTAACCGAAAAATCATATAATAATAGATAGTTTGACAATCCTCACCGACTCCGTATCGTAGTGGTTACTGCGTCCGCCCGGAGAGCGGAAGGTCGCGGGTTGGATCCCCGGCCGTGTCATACCAAACGACGTTAAAATATGATACTTGTCGGCCCCTGCCTGGCGCTGAGCATTAATGGGTACAACAAGGACTGGTCGGCTCAGAGTCAGTATAATGTGTCTGGGTGGGTTATTTAAGCTTGACTGCCGCATGGTATCTCAGTGAGCTAGCACTATAAAACCAGCTTAAGTCTGGGCTTGTGCAAGCAGCCGCACATACACACGCATGTGCGACGTCACGTGAGCGAAATATTATTAAGTGCGACGTTAAACCCCATTTCACCTTCGACAATCATCCCATCAGAGAAAAGTGTTGCACTCATTGGCAGCTAACCACTGACATTACAGAGCAGTACTGTGATCAAGAGTGTGAAGAGTGTCAATACCATTACACCCCTACAGGACTTGACGGTTATACCCATATCTTGGTATCACAGGACTTAGTTGTCTCACTCTCCCTCCAAAACCATATAGTTCCTAATCTGAGCAGTAACTAAACTAGCAGGCAAAAGAAAGTATAGGCTTTTCAAATTGTTATGAAGTGATCGTTTTTGAGAAAACCAAATGTGAGTGATTATAGACATGACTGCACACGTTCCAAAAGTATTGTGCACATGACAGAAACGCATCTTGTGGTGCTGGAGGTCTAAAACGCGGAAAAAGTGTGAATTGTGATGAAGTTCAATTTCCTTAAATGCACGTTTCGAAATGGGGTTGAAATGGGGTTGCCGAATGCTTCAGTATCACAGCAAGTGAGAACACGCAACAGGAATGCCACGGTTGACCCAGGAAAAAAGAGAGAGAACCATTGGAATAACCGAAATTGGAGCTACCCAAGGTAGCCAAAATGGGTGAAGATGGACCTCCTATGTGTTTCTCTTGAGGCCAATTGTTCACCACAGTGTTCTGCTTCACTGTGCGGACTCTTTAACTGCGAGGGACTCACATTATAAGGAATTCTGAAATATCCCGCGTCAGCGAAACCTCTCATTTGAACTACTTCAAGGTCACATGCAACCAAAAAATCAAACATAATTAAAACACAATTATCACTTATTCATGACATATAATATACATTGCTGGTTATGAAAAAACATAAAAACAAAATTATAAGCGTACAATCGCAAGTCAAAAGTGCAAAATTTTGTACTTGGGTTTACTTCCCAAGAAACGAAGCAGCCGGGATACTGAACCCAGGCAGAGCGGGTGGGTGTGCACTCAAGTGTAACGGCTGGTTCATTTGCGTATGCCCTCACGGCTCATTGTGTGTGTATATATATAAATTTTTGGTTTTCTAAGTACATGCTCATTTTTTGTGTATAACATTTTGCAATCAACAGACATCATAACATGTCATGTGTGCAAGTATCACACCTGCCTGTCTGTGTAATTACATAATGTGACAGAGACCGAACTCGGGCCATAAATCAATGCGTTTTGTTTATGGTGTATAGTCTGATAGGTCAACTTGCATGTGGTCAGTGATTGAAATTGTGTATTGAATATTGTCATTAGCAGACGGGCAGGCAGACACATAGGTGCCAATAAAACAGACATTGAGTTTTGTCTGTGACAACGACATATCTATATCACAGTTAGAAATTCTGTCGACGCTAAATAATGAGATTGCTTTTAAGTATCGAACTGAGAAAGTGACTCGGTAAGAAGAACGTGTGGTGAAATAGACAAATGAAATTATTTAAACAGTTAAATCGGTCATCTACTGTAATACCATATAAAAAGCTCGCGCCTGTGAAATATCAACAAAACAGTAGAAAAATAGCTCACACCAAAGCCTTCACCGAATATTCACCGGACAACCCGCTTCCAAGCTCCGCAAACCTATTTCACTGCGCATGTGCTATGGGCGCAGCCCAGCTGTTGAAACCACTTCAATTCCCCCAAGCGCTGTGGGAAAGTTAGTGAATCGTTTGAACTACGATTTCGTGCGGTTTTTTTCATCGCGTTATTTTTCAACTTTATAAGTTGAATTTGCATTTTTGATGATTTGTTTCGGTAAGTCCATACCGAAAGGTATCAGAATCTGCAAAGTTGTGTTTTACATTGCATGTGAACTTTAAGGGAAATTGATCTATATCATAAATTGTAACTATGTAATGTGATGGCGGATTACTTGTTTTTGAATTACATATTCTGTTTGTAAATACTAATGCAATGAATATATGTTTTAAAAAACTCATTTGGACGTTGTACTTAGAATGTTTATGAATGCAGGCTTGATCTCGTCACTAAATAGCTGGGATAATGCCGATGTGACGCAAAACCTAACTTTACAACTATCTGACTTTCCATTTCAATGAATGTTCTTAGTGAACTATATTCCTTCCATCACACCATCTGGATATAATGACCAGACACGGGGTTTACAATGATCGTAGTTAAAAACCCGTCACACGAGGGTTTATAACGGTCATTGGGATGCCTTTTGTCAGGATTAAACAGTTATTATCAACGTTTAATCCACTTCCAACAAATGTTCAGATGGAGTGTGTAAGTGTGGGTTGCGATTTTAAATCACATTGGCAGTATTTCAGCCATATATTTCCAGAAAAAAATTATAGATTCATAATAAATAAAGGTAAATTATAAAAACATTTCAACTAAGACAGTTAAATGACTAGAACATCCCAGATACAAATGTGAAACTATTATGTAAATCTAAAACATTTAAATATAGAAAACATTGAAAATCATATAAACAGGCAAAAGGTTGCCAGCAACTGAAGGTTGCTCACTATACCTACAGTATATTTGCTTCTTGCATGTACACCAGTTGGATTTACACCATCACTTCTGACGTTAGCAATTGTATATAAATCTAGCCATGAATTAAAATAACACATATAGAAATCAAGAATCAATATTGTGGTTGGATTACTCATCACGAGATGCTGCAGCATCTGAATTCTTTTAGTTTTAGATCTTGAACCAGTGGGTAGTTGGTTAGACAAAATGATAAAGCATATACAAGAACCCTGCTCCCCACCCACCATGGAGTCTCATCAAGAACGGAACTGCAGCGGAGGCTGACTACAATACAGATGCCAGGAATACTTGGATGTTGTACTCCAGCAGGAAGGACACAGGTAGCTACAATAGTCAAGCAGAGAAAAAGGCCAGCCTCATGTTACTGATGCCAGATTCGTCCATGAGCCACCGCCTTCTAACACAAGACTCTGAGCAAACATGTAATATAATCGAAATTTGTTGGTTCTGTTTAACCAAGTGAAATATCTGTATACAAATTTAAATGAACCATGCTCACAGTATGGTGGAAAAGCCGATTGATATGACACAAATATCAGCATTTGTATAGCAAATTATATGTCAGGCTGGTTCTGCCGATGGCAAGAAGTCACCAGTTTGGCCCTTGAGCCACCGCCTTCTAGCATGGGACTCTAGGCAATTTATTATATCAATAATTTATAAATTGAAAATAGAAAATGGCCAAGACTCCAAAATGTGTGCAAAAATGTTCCCTATGCACAGAGCTCTTAGATTGATAGAACCAAGCACATGTTACCACCAGTCTAGGTGAAGTCAGGGTCAAAGTGGTGTGTTGGACACTGTTCCTGGCTTCTGTGCCAACCACCAAAAATCTCTTCCTCCACCGACACAGGGATCAACGCACGGAAACAGGTTTATACATTCAATAGTCTGTCCGTGGCTATCATAAACTAAACCTGGATGTCATGGCCAATGAGAATTTACGTAGTTAAGATATATACTAAATTATTTTTTTATTATAACAAAAGTTACCTGCATACGTGGTGGCCACGAGGCAAAGAAGGGCAGACAGGACCTCGACTTGCATGGCAGTTGACTCCAACTCAGCAGCACACAACGCTGTGTGTGAAGGGGGACTGATGACTCGGATGTTATGCCTGGCTGCAGAACGTGGTAGGTCCGGGACAAAGTCAGCTGTTGCGGAAAGGTGCACGAAGCTAACATGATATTTGCAATATCCATTGCAGAAAGGTGACTGTAATCGCAACACATGTAATCAGATTTCTAGCTGGACAAAAGACCCCGTGGTGTGTAACAAATGGCGTTGTCACTGTGAGTGCATCACCGCTGTGATACCGTGAGTAAAGGGATGAGTGGGTAGATTCTTATCACCCAAGTGACGCGGTCGAGACAATGTTGATGGTCTCAGGAAAGTTAACATTCTGTGACACCAGGCTAAATCAAGCAATCTATAAATTCAACTCTCTTACTGACATATATAATTAGTATTTATATTGCTTGGTTTTAGGGTTTTTTAATCAGTTATCAGCTAAACAACAGCCCATGTGACATTCAATTATAACTCACTCAGAACAACTGATAATTTTAGGAGCACGTACCCATTGTCCCTTTTTTAAGTGGTGTTGCAAGAAAAAGAAGAACAAAATAATAATTATTGAACTGGCGTTTGTTGTATTACCTGCTCATAAGTTTTCATTTTATCTTATCATACTTGTTATTACTTGATACCATTTCATTTTTTTAATACCAATGACAATATCGGCTACATTTGTTCAGGCATATGAATTGTTAGTTTATACGATTTTTTTATGAGAATAACAGCATTCAAAATTATGTCAAAACTTTCAGATAGTTATGTTAATTATGAAGAGGACATGTCCACATTTTCTTATTCATCACAAACTGAAATCTGATTCAAATCAGTTATATGATTTGTAATATAAGTTATTATATTTTCCGGAAGTCGTAAGAAATCTCTGCATTGTCAGTTGTATCAACTAGACAATTTTAAAGGCTCTGGATTAATTATGAATCTCTCTCAATTATCGGTGGTCGCTAAGAGGTTTTCTGTTTCAGCAGTTGCACCGGGAAAAGGTATGCAACGGTCAGTTCATGTTTCTCCCAAGAAAACACTGAAGCACTATGGTGCACTTAAAACCACAGAATTGCTTCGCTGTCATGTTTGCCACTGATGTCTCAGTTGATATCTTCCCTACACCCTGTCAATCTCGACATACGTCCACGCACACTCTACATTCATATGAGCAATCACGTTACTTCATTCGACCCTGTTAGTCACTTGCCACACTAAATCGCCTCCGTGGTGTAGTGGTTAGAGCATCCGACCGCGTCATACCAAAAGACGTTATAATATGGTTCTTGTTGGTCCCTGCCTGGCGCTCGGCATTAATGCCTACAGCAAGGACTGGTCGTCTCGAAGTCAGTATACTGTGTCTGAGTGGGGTATTCATGCTTCACTGCGGCATGGTATCTCAGTGGGCTAGCACTATAAAACCAGCTTCAGTCTTGGCTAGTACAAGCAGCCGCACATACACATACACACGCATGCACGTCGTCATATGAGCGAAATATTCTCAAGCACGACTCTAAACCCAATTTCACCCCACCTCACCTTGCCACACCCACGTGTAAAGAAAACTACTCCGACGTCACCAACTGCACTCACGTCACAAAAGATCCACATCAGAAAATATGTTCACGTCACATGAAAACCACATGTCCTACTATCAATCAATCAATCAATCAGAATTTATTCACTCTAAAAGAGCTAAACACCAATTATATGACAAGTAAATCACCACCAACAGTCAAATAACAAGAAAACCAAATCTTTACGTTCACGTCAGATGACAACCGTCACCAACTTTCAATTACATCAACACACCCTCACTGAATGTCCATGACAGAAACTCACACTACACCGCCTTCATAAAACACTCCTTGCACTTATTCTTTTCACATGACATTCACTTCACTCCTTATATTGTCGCAACATGACATTCACTTCACTCCTTACATTCTTGCCAGATGAGATTCACTTCACTCTTTACATTCTCGCCATTTGGCATTCACTTCACTCCTTACATTCTCCCATTTGACATTCACTTCAGCCCTTACATTCTCGCCACATGACATTCACATCACCCGTACATTCTCACCTCGAGACATTCGCATCCTCTTTACATTTTCGCCTCGAGAATTCTCGTCACATGGCATTCACATTCCTCCTTCCATTCTAGTGACATGACATTCACTTCACCCCTTATATTCTCGCCACATGACATTCACATCACCCTTACATTCTCACCTCGAGACATTCGCATCCTCTTTACATTTTCGCCTCGAGAATTCTCGTCACATGGCATTCACATTCCTCCTTCCATTCTAGTGACATGACATTCACTTCACCCCTTATATTCTCGCCACATGACATTCACATCACCCTTACATTCTCACCTCGAGACATTCGCATCCTCTTTACATTTTCGCCTCGAGAATTCTCGTCACATGGCATTCACATTCCTCCTTCCATTCTAGTGACATGACATTCACTTCACCCCTTATATTCTCGCCACATGACATTCACATCACCCTAACATTCTCACCTCGAGACATTCGCATCCTCTTTACATTCTCGCCTCGAGACATTCTCGTCACATGGCATTCACATTCCTCCTTCCATTCTCGGGACATGACATTCACGTCACAGTTACATTCTCGCTACATGACATTCACGTCACTCCTTACATGTTCGCTACATTACATGCACATCACTCCTTACATTCTCGCCACACTGTAAGTCCCCATGGTCCCTAGTCCCGTTTTTATATTGTATTGACATTTATGGAAATACTTGTTCTCGTCACGATATGGCTGAAATATTGCCGATGAGACGATAAATATTAACTCACTCACTCTCGCCACACTGATGACCCAGGACAACCGCACCACTAAGTACACTCACCTCACATTAACTCATAACAAATGCAGTTGTACAATTTAAGCTTTCAACAATCACACAGATGGTCCTGTTTTCTGAGCATATAACGTGTGGAGTTCGGTTGTGCATCACTATCGGCTATACGATATGTGTGATTTTGTTCACCCATTAGCCCGGTATCCGGGCCTAGGAGGCCCGGTCATACTGTTTCTTTCGTTATGATGAGATCGAAAATGCCCAAGTGTTCAAGTTCCCCGGGCCCTACACTTCAATCTTGTGTACATGAATGGGACATCCTTCGTGGTCCTCATCAGAAGGTTTTAAACGCTGACCATGAGTGAGGAGGCTGAGATGTTGGAACTTTTGGCAGAGTTGGTACTACTTCTAGGTCGAAAGGCAGATAGTTCTAAATGGTAGCAGTTGCATACTGAAAGGACTTGTCAGACAGACAGACAGACAGACAGATTTATTCAGTATAAGGCCTTCGGCCCAAAATACAGACAATATAGGGTTACAAAATATTCCTGCGCATAATACATATTTACATACATTCCATAGTATAAAATAGTACATATGCATGATATAGATATATTATATATTACATTGCCTTATTTGTTGCACTTTAAACAAAAGGATTGAAGTTTTAAATTGAAGACAAAGGGATGCCTGTTCTACTTGAAATCACTTTAGCTGATCTGATGTCCTTGTTATAATACTCTAAAATCAACTTCCTCTTCTCTAACTCATCCATACTGAGAAGCACTGAAAATGTCGTCTGCTAGCAAGTAAACAAAGGGGGATAACTCTTCACAAATCATGAAAAAGATTAACAGAGTTGTCTCTCTTGAATTAAACCAAGCACTTGCTAGCTGGTCAAGGTTGTTTATACTAGAAATCCAATTAAACATATTCCTAAAATTCTCAATAATTTCTGGTCATACTATATTTACCAATAAGTGTAGTACGGACAAAAATATAAGCTTCACAGATTAGAAGTCCATTATATTCATTTTCAATAAAATACTTTTTTGGGGATAAACAGAGAGGACAGAGTCTTTCTTCATATGGTGTAGCTTGATGTCTTCCAGTGTTGACAGCTATTCTAAAGTTACTGCATCTGAAGCGTGATAAAATCCTTTTCAAGCGAGATGGAAGTGATGAGTTCAGATGGTATTCAACAGTCAGTAGGGATTTATATTGTTTATATGAATAAGAGTCAGATAGGTTATCCTTGGTCACGGTTGATGGTGGGCTTATGGCGTTTGATGTGAATGGCTTCGGTGAGCTTGCGTTTAGTGAAGTCCGTTTGGTTGTTGGCGAGAATGGTGAAGTCGGACCACTCTATTTGATGATTCGGGTTTGCTTTGATGTGGTCAGAGATAGCTGATTTGGTGTCGGAGTTAGCAACAGAGGTGCGATGTTCTTTGACTTGGGTGTTGATGGGTCGGGATGTTTCACCTATGTAGCTTTGTCCACAATCACAGTTTATTTTATAAATAACACATTTCGGGTTGTTTTCTTCCGTTGGCATGGAGGAGGTTGTTGAGGCTGGAGGACGCTGAGAAGGTTGTGTCTATGCCTGCCTATTGTTTCAGGAGTCGGCTGATTTGATGTGATGGTTTACCTATGTAGGGAATGGATATCTTGATGGGGGCTGATTCTGGTTTAGATCTTTTGGCAGGAGGTGAAAGCGTTGCTTCGATGGTTCTGTTGACTATTTCAGGTGGGTAGTGGTTGCGTTCTCCAAAGACTTTCCTTAGGTGTTCAATTTCTTCTTGTAGGTTTGTTGAGCAGATGTTTTTGGCTCTTCTGGTCAACAGGCAGGCATAGACACAACCACATCACATGACATTCACACACCCTTTACATTCTCGCCACACATTCACATCCCTCTTTACATTCTCTCAACACATGACATTCACATTCTTTCATAGATTCTCGCCACACCACAGTCGCATCCCTCTTACATTCTCACCACATGACATTCACACACCCCTTACGTTCTCGCCACACATCCACATCCCCCGATAAATTCTCTCAACACCACAGTCACATCCCTCTTACATTCTCACAATCATTTAATAGTTGAATTTTTAAAAGAATTAGATTTGTTAACTGATTTGTAAATAGATAAATATTTTATTCTTGGTAATTTAAATTAGTCACTGAGATTGTTAGTGGCTGTACCCTCAAAGGGGGTTGACGTAGCGTAAAATTATTGTCCTCCTGAGAGGGTACGTAAGTCCCAAAACTTTCAAAGTAAAATATTAATTATCACATTTTAAACGTAGTATTTTTGTTATTTTAACTGTTGGCTAAATTTTCCTACAATCGCGAGCAGCTGAAGGGATGGTGTAAATCCAGCTAGGATCCATGCAGGTAGCATAAGTAATGTAAGTCCCCA